ACTAATGTCCCTAGTAGCAAGCCTTTCATTCCAGTCCTATGCCCCTCTTTCCGTAGCACATCCTCAGTTGCAGACTGGAGTCTAAGTGAGATGTGTGAAGCAAATACCGATACTCTTGTTTGGCTTTTTTCAGAAAGCTTTCATTAGGTAACAAAATCAAGCATGTAAGTAAAGCTGCTAAATACGTTATTGCAGTAACTGAAGTTTTCAGAGTGTTGGAATTTCCCGTTTTCTTTTTCAGTGCGTCTTATTTTGACAGCAGTAGCTGGAATTATTGGAGGGCTCTTCCTGGTTGCAAGCTGGTGGAGATTTGGCTCTGTCCTACTCTGTATGTTTATTATTGGACTTGTGCTGGGATTTCTCTTTTCATCGACAGTCTTCTTTACTCCACTAGGTATGCACTGAAATACTCTGCTGCAAAGTGCTGGCTATTGAGTGATATGTTCCTGCTGTGTTACAGGAACACTGCAAGGCTCTTAAGGTTAATGCCACTATCTGGTTTATCTTAATGTTGTTATATTTAACTTTCCCTTTCCAGTCTTGGGAGGAATAGAGATGTGCCTGAAGCCTTCTTTCAGGTGTGCTGTAATTAAAACTACTTAGGGAACCTGCACTGGTGGGAAAAGGAAACTGCTTATTCTGCAGAGAACTTGCTGAGGCTCTTCCTATTTAAGCTGTATGCCGTCTCAGCAGTCTGTGACACCAGCTCTGCTCCAGGCGAGCACTTGCTGTCTGTCTTGTTATCTGTTCAGGACAAGTCACAGTAGAAAATCTGCAGTTTAACTTGGAGGCTTCAGGCATAAAGGCATCGTGGATTAAGAGGAGCTCTTGCTGTTACCTTTCACCGTGCTACGGTGCAAGGCTCTGGGAGCACTGCACTGTAAGAGTCTAACTTGTATTTGCAGCTGGATTGACATCATCAGGGTCTCTAGAATGACTTTTTTTTTGAGAGAAACCATAGATAATTGCTTAAAAGCAAGCAAGGCTGCTGAGCTGAAATCCCTCTGGGACATCAGAGCATCAGCAACACTGCTTTCTCTATTGTAATTTTAAATCTCAAAATGACTTAAGATCCCTTGGTGGGACAGTTTTTCATTCTTCAGTCATCTGTGTTTGACCCAAGCCACAACTCTGTGATAATCCATGCAGTCCCTGGTTGCTCTTCATTAAAGTAAAACATTGACTCAGCTGGGGGTCAGCTTGTCCCCTCTGTTTAATTGACAGGCCTCAGAAAGCAGGAGAAACGAAGTAGTGTATGAATGACTTAATTACTCTTCCTGAAGAATTTGTTGCCTTGTGTTGTTGTGATGGCTGTACTTGCACCATACTCTAGAGTCAAACATACATAGATGCAGGTTTATAGATTATAACCTATATAGCCATAAAAAGGCTTCTGATTGGGCAGAAGTACTCTAGTACTTTTCTTTCTTACCAGATGAATAACACATACCTCATCTAAAATCTTTCTCATGGACAAGATCTGCTGTCCCAACTTAGAGCACAGGACCTATACTCAACTGGGACAGTCTTTCTCTGGTCTTGTGTTGGGTAACTGTGTTACAATGCATCTTAATCAGCATTTGAGCTCAAAAGCTAAGCTTTTCCATATTGTCGTCTAGATTTCTGAACGTACAGAATCTTTTGGGGGGAAAAGCTTACCCCCAACCACTTACAAAAAAGGAAATGTTTTGCTAACTATAAATTACATGTGGAATATGGTGTCTTTGCAGGAGACTACAGGGTCTTCCGTGATGATGTTGTGTTCTGGGTGACCTTTTCATCTGTAGCCTTGATGATTCCAGTGCTTTTTGTTGGCTGTCCAAGAATTGTAAGTAGTCTGTGCTGTCACCTCAGGAGGAGGGATATACATAGCATCCACTAACACTTGCATTTAGTAGACTTCTGCTGTCTTAACAATATGTCTGGATAACAGGTGGGTGCGTGCAGCCAACTTCTCGTAGAAGAACTGATACAAGATACTGCCTTAAGGAGGTGGGGAAATAGAGTGTTTATCAGTCTCCTAAAGCTGTGTTTTTTCTCCCTCTCTAGCTGAACATACTGGCTACTGGAATAGTAGGCTCTTATGCAGTGATCCTAGCTATTGCTTGTTATGTCTACACAAGTCTTGCTTACATCACCTTAGACCTACTCAGAAGGGTCCTCAATGACTACTTCAGCAGAGCTTACACCAATGTGCCTTTTCAGACAAATGGTGAGTACTGCTCTTAAGACTTTTTTTTAAAGAACTAGTATGAAATGCTTATTTGAGAAACCACTGCCTCTTTGGTTCCATTGTCAACAGTGAGTGTTGAGGGTAGGAAGGGAAGAAAGGAGAACAAATTAAGTACGGTGTGAGACTTAACACCCAGATGAAAAATTCTAATCCTCCAAAAGAAGTACTGTGTAGACTCAAAGGCACCACCCTTGCAACAGGTTTTATGTGACAGAGGCCCTTGTGAAAGGTGCTTCTCGGGCTCGGACTGCCACCTTGCTGATGAGTTTGCAGTGTGGGCAGTCAAAAGGCCTGGTACGGTGACTGAACAGACTCATCTCAAATCCACGTGTGTTCTTGCCTCTTCATGGATTTACTCTAGGCATGTGAGGATGCAGAGACAATACTTCATTCCTTTCTGTGGCTAAACTTGTTCGGTGTTTGTGATTGGGAAAGGAAGGAATGTTCTGCTTTGATATAGGAATCTCTTCATTTTCTCTTTTTCAGACTTCATTATCCTGTCAGCGTGGACAATGCTGGCCCTTAGTGGAGTAACTGTGCAGCTTCGCCGAGAGAGAAGTGAAGTGCCCTTCCCACCGCACCCCTATCTCACCTGGAAGCGGGAAAGGGAGCGCAGAAGCACCAATGTCTTAGACCCTAGCCATCATATCCCTCCCCTAAGAGAGAGGATCCATAACAAGCTACTGCATATCAAAGACTTTTTTCAGAAACAGCAGCCAGCTGGGGAAAGAACTCCGTTGCTTCTGTAACCCACCAGATAACTAGTGGGAACAGAGAAGAAGAATTTAGGAATGGCGAGATGAACGATCACCAGCAAACCAGCCAGTGGTGCAGGATTTACCACTGCCAATTTGTCCTGCTTAATAAGAGGAATGTATTTGCCCAACCTGGAAGAAGTTATCTGTCCAGTACACTACATGCTGTTTTGTGACTCTTTCCTCAATGGCCCACTCAGCCTGCTGTAACACGCGTACGTCTAGCTGCAGAATCTTGTACTAATGGTCAAGTACGGGTATTTATCTTGTGGTGATCTAGTTTGATGTTTAGGTATGGGAAGTATAAAACAGCCCTTGGAAAGCAACCTGTACAATGCTGGTTCTTCCCTCGCAGTGTGGTAACCACTGCTGAAATATTGCCTGACTCGCTCCTGAGCAGTCTGTCAAATTGCAAGGGATGAGAGGTAAGGACCGTGTACAGAAGGAGTTCTAACAGGAACTGAAGTATCGCCTTCTAATATAGGTACAAAATGTGTGGCTGCAGACACAATTGTTTCCAAGAAGTATTACTGAACTTTGCAAGCTAAACTAAGTGGCTTGAATTTAAACTGCACTGAATTGTGTTGTAAGTGTGCACACTGGGGCTCAGGAAGTGGACCTGATCTGAGACAAGAAGACTTTCTCCCTCGCTTTTGGATGGTTCTGTAGCAAGCTGGTCATCTGGTCTCTGTGCAGAGATGACTGCTAAGAGAACACAAGAGGTCTGCCTCCTTGTTTGCTTTCTGAACAGCCTGTGACTTGTTTCTGCTCTGCTATAATCTCTTTTGTGGTGGTGCTGTCATAAAAGAAAAAACCTAAATAAGCTCTTTGTAACCAATGGCAGGTTTTTTTTTTTTTTTCCCGGAATTGGTTGAAACACTAACTATTTTAATTTTTTGTCAATATATCTTTTAATTTTGCCTTTAAGGGGTGAAAACAGCATCCAGCTAGCAAAATACTGACCAGGATCCTTGCTGACTGAATGTGTTCCTTACCAATTTGGATTGCATCTGCCCAGAGCAGAATGTAGTATAAAAACAGATAAGCGACCACTCTTACGTTCAGTGGAGGATTGCGATCTTGTGTGGTGGCTTTATTCACTTCCTTAAAAACAAAACAAACAGCCGTTTTCAAAATGCAAACTGGAGCACTGTGGTTTTGGCTCACGTAAATGCACAAGCAGTCCTGAGGCTGTCCTCAGTTTTACCTGCCCTTGCCCCCCATGCCCAATCCTGGTCTTCACATTCAGTGTTTACCTGCTGATCCGTAATGTGTTCGATGATAGCTGAAGTCTTGCATCCTCTGTCTCGATCCAGGTTATGGTGGCTCTTCCTTCTTAGTCTCGCTATCTTTGTACTTTTAGTGTGGGCAGCAAAGTGTATAGTCCTTCCTCTCCGAAGGTGAATGGCTGTTCTGCTGCCTGAATGGAACCACCATGAGTGAATACCCTAGTGGTGGGAACTTAAGTTCTCGGCCACCGCTTTACATTCTTGGTAGTAAGTACGTAAGAAACAATTCTTTGTAAGGGAACTGGCAAAAGAACTTTATCTAGGAACTTAGTTGAAAGTTAAAACACCCTGGCAATAGGAAGGAATTAATTAAATTAAAATTACTCTACCGGCCATTTTTCTTTGAGTGAAAGCTTAATGATACAGTATCTGAGGTGACTGATCTGATACTTAGAGAGACAAATGCCATGATTGCTTGGAGCTGGAACATCTGCCTCAAACAGCAGAGCAAGGCTGAGATCCTGCAGTTTGGGTCTTGCTTCACCGTGCTGTTGGAACACGCAAGAAACACAACACAGAACA